ATATATTTAGTTACCGTTATGTTTATTGCAAAGATACATACATACAAGCAACCCCACCACACCCCACCCCACTACAGCCACCTCCCATACTCATCAACAAATGCAACATTAAAATGATTCCCCACCCCGTAATCCAGGCTCCCCCAAGCCACTCTAAACTCTAAACCGAAACGCGTAATCTACAATAAACCCATAAATATATACAGTACCTATTCAATATGTGTATAGATGCAACCAGCAACGATATAGTTACTCGTATCATACCCGTTGTGTACTAAGCCGAAGGCATTTTGAGAGCGAGAGCGAGAGCAAGAGAGAGAGAGAGGGAGAGAAGAGGATTGGATTTCCAATTGATTGTGTACCCATAATGGGCATCCTCTTTGATTAACTTTAATTTGATTAATTTGTATAATTTTTGTTGTTGTGTATTTCATTTTGCCGCCATAAAGCCCCCAGAAACCTTAGAAGCCCCTGGATCCAGAAGGTCCGTTTTCTCCTTATTACTCCATCCAGCGATGGGTTGCCTGTGTGATAGTAGTTTATAATTAAAGCCCCTCGCTGGATATCCCCCAACACTTCCAACAGCCCCTCCATACCACACCCCACCCTCGCATCGTAACAGTAAAATAATTAAAAAATATATATACCAAGCATTTTTATCATTTTTTTGAACGGCGAGCAAAACTACATAGTAAAAAGCCTTTTAAAAAAATATATATATATTTCTATATATGTATGTATACTTACCAAACTAAAAAAAAATCATGAAAAACATACAAAAAATAACAATGAATATGAAAAGTTACAAAAAACACACAAAAAAACACAATATTTTTACATTAATTATTTTTAAATTTACCTTTATTTGTAATCTTTATCTAAAATTAGTTTAGAGCTTTTTTTTTGCGTCGTCTACATTTTACATCTTACGTTAAGTTCATTTAATCGGATTGATTTGACGACACGGATGTATCTGCATTGTAAATTGTATCTACATTACAGAGCTAAAATATCTATAAATATTATAAATATAACAAAAAAAGAGTAAAATATTATTAAAAAAAACCAAAAAAAAAAAAACAAACAAAAAAATTTGTTACACCCTTGTTTTTATTATTTTCTTTTATTTATCTGTAGTTCAGTATTTCCGTATTTTTAGTTGTACCCGGTTTTACGCTTTGGTTTGGCCCCGTCGGGTTTCAGTTGGTTTCGTTTCCTGAATTCCTCAAGTCCTATCCAAACTGATCCGTTCGTTTCCGAAACGCTTTCGATGTTCTACGAGTAAATTGTCCACAAACACAGAACCCCCCTGAAACCCCCAAATGAATTAAATATGACCGATAAGATGAGATGCCAGAGATGGAGGTACAGTTGTGTTTACAGATGACTACACCTGTAATACCGTCATACTACCCGTAAGCTAACCACGTGCGTGTATATACATGTATATATATATACATATATATATATATACTATATGGAGTAAACGTAAACTAAACTAAACATAAACTAAAGTAAATGAATAATGAATGAATAAACTACCTCAGCTTTGAATATTTCTATAGAAATGTTATTAAATGTATTTGAGCAGGCATAAGGACTATATACAATACCCACACAGAAATTAAAAATAAACAATGTCAGAGAATACAAAGTTTTAGAGCTGCATTTACTATATAGTAACAGAAACCTTAATGAAGTAACGTGGGAAAAAAAGCGAAAAAATACCTAAAAATAAAATATATTAAGTGTACGTTTTGCATATTCCTATATACATAAATAGTTTAACAAACATAAAAAGCAAAATGGGTCAACTTAAATACTACTATAACAATAATTTTGCGTCCATTTTTGTTGTTTCCTATGAAAAAAGATACAAATTCAAAGAAAAAAAAAACAAAACAAAAAGACATGAGCAAGAACGTCGGAGAGGTACTAGTATTTGTATGCCCAATCAGAATGCCATCAGTATTGTTATGGATCTGAATATACATTGTACAATAACAACACCACGCCACATATACATACATACATATGTATACATATCCATATGTATGTGCTGTACCCACTCTGTGTATGTTTATATCTGCCATAAAGTACACACAAACCATATAACCATATAAACGACATTACATGGGCTAAAGCAAACCGCCCCCTAGAGATATAACGTACTAAAGGATGTCATGTCATGTCTGCCGTTGTATCATATAAGTTTAGAACCAAGTATTTACCAGCGAGTAAATGGCATTTGTTTACCAATTATCAAAATTACAAAGTTCTTCTCTATAATTTCAATCCGTATCCGTACCCGTACCCCAAACCAAAACCAAAAACTTATACAAATATACATAGATGTATACTCGTACTAATCTGCGTAAGATGTTTTCCCCATTTCGGTGTAATTAAATGTTAATTGCTAGCGCTCAATACGAAAATTTACCACACCAAATTAAACAAACATCAAAATCTAACTAACACAAATACAAAGCCACAAAAAATACAACCCACAAGCTTACATTGTATCCCAAGGCCAAGGATAAAATTAGAAAACCCAAATACAATTTTGTGAACATGTGAAAAAAAAAAATGAAATCGAAAAGAAATTTACTCAATAAATGATTTTTCGTAAATAAGAAAATGTATATTGTGCACTTGATATTTTTATGCATTTTTCATCTTTGCACAGAGCCACGCAATCAATCAATCAATTATTAGTGTCCATGTGCGCTTGTGAATAGTCTTTGTAAAGGATGGAGTCCTTTGCCAAATGCTTACAAATGTATAATTGGCTTTAATTATTCCAAAACGACACAAGCAACTTGCAGAAATTTCTATAAAACCGAGCACTAGGTATACCATCGTGGGGATAGATCCCATCTCATCCCGAGGGAAGTGGGTCTTTGTTTAAAACGAATATTCTGTTGGTATGTGCTGTAAGCCAATTGATCTCGCGCAATGCCTTCTCACACATTCTCTCCACATTAGCAGGAGAGCTGGAGATTACTAGCGATGCATATTCCTGTAACAAAGTGTGTTTTACTTACTGGATTTGAGCCCGATACTATCATGATGTTATCGATTTTTGAATAAAATTTATCGATGCCGCCATTTCTATGCAGAGCTGCAATTCTTCTTGTTGTGGTGTGGCCACTAGCGCTGCCAGATGCAAGATAATTTTCAAATTGTCAGCTCGGCGGGTATATTGAAAATCGAATGAATCCGGTTCGTTAGATCTGGCGGTTGCTCATTCAAATTCATAAACACACAGAAATTTCACATATTTTACTCCTAAAAAGATTAATACACAAGAAAATAAAAATACTAATTCGATTATAAATTTATCTAGTGAAGGTATCGAAAAGAAAACAGGCCCATTCTTGTCTGAGAAAATCAGACACCTTATAATCACAGGAGTAAAAGAAATTGTAGCGATTGCCCCTATATAGTAGAACATTTATTTTAAAAGTTTCGATGTGCCGTGGGTGCGGTCGATTTGGCTTCAACTATATGTTCAAGAAGGCCGAAGGCACCATTCAAAGATGGTGGCCATCAAGCTTCTCCAGAGTCATGCGAATGTGAAAATTTGTGAGCGGGATAACAAAATCATCTCTAAGTAGTTCACTAGTCATGTAAATAGCCAATAGCTAAACCGGAATGCATTTGCTCATACTGATGGAACGCCTCTCTGCGCCATCTGCCAGCAGCTTCCTTCTGGGTCGTCTGCGAGGATGGCTGCCGTGACTAATTGCTGGTCAGGTGTTGTCGTCCTCTCGGGCTGGTCTTTTTCGCGGAGGTACAGGTACACTCCGAGGAGAGGATTCGTTGCGGAAGTTCTTTTACGTTCCGAGGAGAAGTTGGGATGCGGAGGTTCAAGTTTGCTCCGAGGGTAATATTCGTTGAGGAGGTTCAGGTACGCTCCAAGGAGATGTTGGGATGTGGAGGTTCAAGTACGCTCCGAGAATATTCGTTGCGAAGGTTCACGCTCCAAGAAGAAGTTGGGAGGCGGACGTTTAGGTACGCTTCGCAGCAGCAGCCAAACCATGAAGCAAATATACAAGGTGGTGTCGTCGGTAAACATGCGAGTGGTATAGTGATTGTGAGTGAGATGGCACATGTTGATGTGGATTAACCCTTAACAGGCCCGTGGGATTTAATATTTCCTATTATAAGACAAAGAGTTGCACTTTTTGTTTATAGTTTTATTCTTATTAATTTTGAATTTGGAAGCAAACGGATGGATATTTTTTGTTAAGGTTGTCGGCATCAACCATTTCCTCATTTGCATTTTCATTTACATTTATTTATATATTTTCACACGGCAAACTTACTCTGTTGGCGTGTTCGAATTGACGAAACCATCTTTTAAACTTTCTTCGTCTCTCTCCGGCACGGCGCTATCAATCAATCTCCTTTTATAAGTCTGCCTTTTGTTAGGAGCAGACTTCCTTCATTTTTGTTGGGGGCACGTAAGGGTTAAAACTTTATAAAAAAAATTCGTCCGCGAAACACGCACGATAAGGGACAATACGAACGAACTTCGGCTCTCGACGATACCTATTTAGTCATTCACAGTCCAAAGATAATATTAATAGAATCAATAAAACCATTTTTAGATAATTGAAAAAAAAAATTGAACTCGATTAGCATTTTGCGCTCAGTTTGCATCGAACCACGCGACTATCGATATGTTATACAAATTATTCATCTGTTGAAGTCCGGAACGTTCGAAAGCTTTTCCCTGGCTTGGGTCCAAAACAGACAAGTGAAATCAGTTAATAACCAAGGCAAGCAACAATAGCAACAGCAGCAGCAGCATCAGTACCATCATCAGCAGCAGTCGAGAGAAACTGGTTTCTGTAATTAGCATGCACATTTGATCGCTGAATTATGATTAACGTTTTCATTTCGCAGAATTTTCTGTTTTTGTCAGAGTCTGCTCTGTATTCAAGGGGCCATCGAAAGTATTGAAAATCGTTAAGACCGACCTGTCACGGAGGCAGATGACCGGATCACGGATGGCTTCTTCCAATTGCGCAGTAGTCGCCCTCAGCCTGTTTGCCCTCCTGCTGACGCAAGGGAGCGTTGATGTTGTGGATGCGCGACGTAACCAAGGCAGCAACCAGCGCAAAACATCATCCTCATCCAGCTCCAACGGTCATGTGACCCAGCCCAGCTACAGCACGAACGGACATGCGGCCGGCAACTCGCATGCGGACGTGGCCAAGCTGAGTTATCCCAACTACAACTCGCAGCCGAATCGGCCGAATGTGAATGCGAACGCGAATCCGGCTTCGGCTCCGGCTCCTCAAGCTGGCTGGAATGTGCCCCAGGGTCCGCCACCCGCCTACTCCGCCTCAAATCCCGTAGGCGGCGCTCGACCAAATGTGCACGAGCAGGCGCCCTCCTATCATGCACCCAGCTATGGGGCAGCTCCGCCAAGCTATGGTGCCGCTCCGCCAAGCTATGGAGCAGCCACCTCAAACGTCCATCAGCCCATTACGGCCACCCAAAACCATGGCACCCAGTATGCCGGAGCACCACCCGGAGCCACGTACTATCCATCGGGCGGACACAATGGCTACCCAAGCAATCTACCAGCCGGCGCCACCTACTATCCCTCGTCGGGACATATGCCCATGGGCGGGGGCTATCAGCCGGCAGCCGCACCACCGGGGGCCACATATTACCAGGCTGGCTCTGCTCTGCCTCCAGGGGCCACCTACTATTCGCAGCCACCCCAACAATCATCATCAGGCCTGGGCTTTGGTAAGTTCATCTCTCTCTATCTCCTCCACTCTAATACGGAAGCTTTTCTGCAGGAACGGGTCTACTTGCTGGTGGATTGGGTGGCGCTCTGCTTGGCCACGCGTTGACCCCCTCCGGTGGCAGCTCATCGCAGCCAGCTGCAGCTCCTGCAGCTGCCGGTCAGGACCGCATTATCATCATCAACAATGGAGTGCCGGTGAATGCCAGCGACGGCACCACAGTTATCAATGCAGCCGGAGTAGCTGCAGCAGCACCAGCACCAATGAACACGACCCAAGATGCCCAGCCAGCTGCAATGCCTGTTCCTATGGCGCCATTCAGCCCGGAAACCTCCAATATGACCGTGCCTAATTCGGCAGATGCAGCTCCACCGCCACCCGGTGGAATTATTTGTGTGCCCACCAAGGTCAATGAGACAGATCCGGCCGACAGCACCAAGATGATTGAGGTGGAGAAGATCGCCTGCTATCCGGCGCCTCCGCCACCGACGGCAGCACCCGGCGAAGGACCTGCTCCATTGGCTCCCATGGCAGCGGCCCAACCAGGGTCTCAGCAGGTGCAGACACCCCCGGCCGCCTCCTCATCGATGGACGCAGCCCTCAAGTCCAGCACTAGCGGAGCCTCACTCCTGGCACCTGGTGGTAGCCTGGGCCTTTTGCTGGTTGCAGTCGGTGCACTCGCCATGCGTCTGACAACTCCAGAGCTTTCCAATTCGTTTTAAATCCTCTATTATCCGGTTTTAGTACCATTAGTCACTCCACTGTTAGCCGTCCACTGCACCCACCACCCCTAGTTGTCCGCCCCTGTCCACAGCTTTTTGTGGCCTTGAAATGATTGCCGCATGTTATCCAAGAGTCTGTTTACGCTGGCCAAGATCGATATTCCAAATGCGTTATGGTCCCGCTCGCCATGGGCGTGGACAAGTGACAAATAGCACGTGTTAATTGGGTGAAAATTGTTTATTTATTGCGTACCCTCTTCAAACTACAGCACTCAGTATTCAGCGACATCCCGTCTTAGTATTTCCAGCTTATTGTCTCGATATATTTATATATAAATATGAACTTATACATAATGTATACCCAAAAACCGTACCCATTTGCGTGAAAGCGCGTTTCCTTCACTTATCCCTCGATTGTGCCTTTGAGCCTAAGATCCATTCAGTCGTCTCTCAACAACGAATCTCAAAAGTGTGAACCAAAAAGACATTGGAATATATAATACCCTTTATTCTCAAGTAACGAATTATGTAAGCAAACAAAAAAAAAAACGAAAGTACTAAATACGGCCCTAAAAGGGTTTGAATATTTTTCTAGAATTATAATTGCTGCACGTTTTTCTGTAATTTTTTTGTTTATTTTGTCCTAGTGTATGTAAGCATTGCACTCTTTAATTGTTGAAATAAACGCATTGGACCAACACCCCCTACACACACGCACCCGACATGGAAATTGTTTTATTTCCCATGGTGTAGGCATAGGAATTGCTTTTGAATAACTTGTATGCCACGGAACAGCGCAAACTAGAGTTGATTTTTTATTAACTGTAATTGCACAAGCAGTAGAGGCAGCAGCGGCCCTCGTTCCATCCCGCTCACACTCGTGCTCACAGCACGTACACCCACACAGTTAGGTTAGTCAGAGGTGCAGTCTTTATTTGGTACGGCACAAGTATTGCGCTTCAAGGTAATAAAAAATAAACCGAACCACGTACCCGGTACACAAATATTTGCAAAACAAAATAAACAAAAGCCGTGCTCAAATGTTGTACATAATATGCATGGACGGACGTACACTTCCCTTCCCTTCCTGTCGTCATTCTCTTGTCGACCCTGTCCATCGCAAGAGTGAGCGAGCTAGATATACATAGGTCAATGAGTAGCGCTCCCAGTGAGAGATCAACTGCAAAGATGAGAACGATCAAGTACTGGCTGAACCAGACAGCAGCAGCTATTCTAGATTGCACAAATTGTTTTGTTTGGGATCGTAACAGAACCCAACAACTAGATTAGTAGTTATTTTCCGGAAATAAATAATTGAGCATATTAATATCAGGTTTACACAGTTTTTTATTTTGTCGTAGACCCAAAAAATGGATTTTCAATTAGTTTACAATTTGTTGTTGTTTGCTTATAAAAACACGACCGTAACGTGATATTTAATAAAAACGAATCAGCCATACAATGCCATTGTAAATCCTTTTGTTATTGCTGTCTTTGTATCATCTTTACTCCGCATCGTCGTCCTCGTCATCGTTGGAGCTGATTCTGAAGTAGCGCAGCTCGTACGAGTCCTTCTCGTTGGCCACAACGCGGATCCAGTCGCGCAGGCTGTTCTTCTTCAAGTACCGCTTGGTCAGGTACTTGAGGTAGGCCTTGGAGAAGTGCACATCGGAGCTGACGTGCAGCTTCAACTTGGAGCGCTCAAAGGTGACATTGTTGCCAAGATTGTTAACCTTACCGTTGACCTTTAGGCGAGCCTTAACGTATTTCTCCTGCAAAACATAGGTGGATACGGTTAGCAGGCGACAAGAAAGGACAAGGACCAGAAAGTATTAATGCGTTCGATTGGGCGGCGATTAAGATGTCTCTTTCAGTGTTAAGGCCAACAGTCAGTTGTCAACTGAAGGCCCAAATTAAGAAGAGTGACCAATTTTTTAATATGCCACTGAGTACACTGCCATCAGAGCGACGCAGAGCTTCACTCTCTGACGGCAAATCGTCGTGGCCTAAAATAGTTTCGGTACGGATGATAATGATGAATTTAGTTAGTAGTAGTTACCTGATCGGGAGATGGTGGGCGGGAGATGCAATCAGCAGCGCCCTGCTCTGAAACTAGCGCGTGAAGCGCTTACGGTTTGCCCACATACGGGTGTTTGTACGACTGAGCTTTAGTGTATTCTTTATTGGAAGTCTAGCTCTATTGTTGTGGGAAAAACCTGCAGTGTCACGGATGTCGGAGCACTTGAGCAGGGCGCACTATGAATTTTGGCTCGATGCGACACGGTTGTGCCGCACTCAACCCGGGGCCCACCACGTGGCGGTACACATAGCACGGCTTGACGCTGTTCACAGACGGTTGCACCAACTGGCCAGTACCAGGTTACTGGCGATCAGTGGCTACCCCGTTGTGCAGTGACCAGAGCCCCTTATCGGCGCACTCCCCACGGGAATGGGGAGCACTTTATACAGAGACGCGTGCCGCCATGATAGGCGAATCGAAGATTGATCGACAGAGTAGTGTTTGAAGACGATTTTCTATTTTGTCTAAACTGATTGTGAACATGTTCCAAGAGTTGTTAACCGCTAGCGGAACGGATATTGAATCCGCAAGCAGTTTAATCGCAAATGAAAGTTCGCTATAACCACAACTTTTTATCCAAAGCCCCAGGCTATGATTGGGGGCAATGGAAAGCTTGGTGCGGTAGCCAGAGTTCAGCTGATGGCGGTTCTTGGGCAGATGGCTCGGGGTACTTACGAAGTCAGCAACATCCATGATGCTATCCTCAGCGATGTTGGTGCAGTCGATGGTGAAGCGCAGGGAGACCTTCTTCTTCTTCTGGCCCTTGCCGCGGAGCACATTCTTCTTCGTCACCTTGCTGGGTGCCGGTGCTGCCTTTGCCTTGGGCTTGGGGGCAGCAGGCTTGGCAGCAACCGGAGCGGCAGCGGCAGCTGGAACAGCAGCAGCCGCGGCGGCTACTGGAGCAGCAGCCTTGGCAGGGGCGGCCTTCTTGGCTGGAGGAGCAGCCGCAGCAGTGGAGGCTGCCTTCTTAACGGGAGCAGTCTTCGCTGGAGCGGGAGCAGCAGCCTTGGCTGGAGCAGCCTTCTTGGCGGCAGCAGCAGCCGCCGCGGGTGCCTTCTTGGCGGCCTCCTTAGCGGGAGCTGCCTTGGCAGCAGCAGCAGCCTTAGCAGCCGCGGGCTTGGCGGCGGCGGCAGCAGCAGCCTTCACATCCTTAGCGGCCTCTGGTGCCTTCTTCACGTTCTTGGCAGCAGCGGCGGCGGGCTTGGCAGCCTCAGCCTTGGGCTTCTCCACCTTGCCCTTAGCGGCGGCAGGAGCGGCCTTCTTCTCAGCCGGCTTAGCAGCAGCGGCCTTAGTATCACCCTTGTTGGTCTTGGCCTGCACATACAAGAAAATAAAACTAACTAATCAGCTTTCGAGTTACGTCATTAATGGTTCGATTTGCTGTGATATTTCCACTTTTTCGTTTAAAAGATGGAATATAGATTGATATTCTGCAACTTTCGCGAACATTTATCATATGATTGCATTACACTTTCACGATTTCTTTTCAGCACTTACAGTTGGAGCCATCTTGTCAGTCGAAAACCACGAAGGAAAAGAACCCAACGCTGGCTGTCAAATTTCACAACACTTCGGCGTCTGCGAAATTGCCGGCCTAGGAGCTGTCATTTGACGGCGTTACCAAATAAACTGAACGCAATCGATATTTAGCGGCTTTCATCTCTAACAGGGAGTGTTGTTAGCCCTTTTTTATAGAAACATTTACTTATAAGTAATGTTTCCTACGGTTGAAATTTTGTTATTATAGTAATAATAATTCAAAAGTTTCTTAGCATTCTTTTTTGCTTGCTGTAAATTGTGAGTACCACAAAAACAGCTTTTTTCTATTAACATGTTGGCAGCAGTGATTGTGCGCCAATTAGCAATTAAAACATCGATATAAACCATATATCGATACGCAATTATCAACTCTGGCTCTTTTCGTGTTGCGGATCTGTTCTGCTTACTCGTGGCGAAATTTTATATTTCCATTACGCTATTAAATTGCAGTGTACAACAAAGTAATAAACCACTAACGATATGTTGAGTGTATAAAATTGAATGTTTCACTTGAACATTTCCAGATGCCGGGCGTTGAAACTATCAAGTCGTCTTGGGCCGATGAGGTGGAGCTCGACTACGGCGGCCTGCCGCCGACAACGGAGAACGTTGAGAATGGCCACAAGTATGTGACCGAATACAAATACAACAAGGACGACAAGAAGACAAAGGTCGTGCGCACCTACAAAATCTCCAAGCAGGTGGTGCCAAAGACCGTGGCCAAGCGTCGCACCTGGACCAAGTTTGGGGAATCGAAGAGCGACAAGCCCGGCCCCAACTCGCACACCACAATGGTATCCGAGGAAATCATCATGCAGTTCCTCAACTCCAAGGAAGACGAGAAGGCCAACGATCCGCTGCTCGATCCCACCAAGAACATTGCCAAGTGTCGTATTTGCAATGGCGAGCATTGGTCCGTCAATTGCCCCTACAAAGGTACCGCCATGGATACAAATCTCATGGAGAAGAAGGCTGCAGCGGCTGCCTCTGCCGCCGTGGATGCACCCAAGTCCGGTAAATATGTGCCGCCATTCCTCAAGGACAGCCAAAAGGGGGGCCTGGGAATGCGTGGTCGCGACGACACCGCCGCCATTCGTATCTCGAATCTGTCGGAATCGATGACGGAGGCGGATCTGGAGGAGCTGGTTAAGAAAATTGGACCACAAAGTAAAATGTACCTGGCCCGCGACAAGAATACCGGCCTCTGCAAGGGATTCGCCTATGTGCACTTCAAGCAGCGCAAGGATGCTGCAGCAGCCATCGAGATATTGAACGGACACGGCTACGATCATCTGATTCTCAGCGTTGAATGGTCAAAGCCGCAGAACAATTAGTCGTGTTAGTCTTGGTTTAGCTATATCTATCTGTAAAGGCCCGTCTATTCGCCCCAGCGCTGCTACAGGCTTGGATTGATCACATAATAAATATCCTTAAGCTAAAGGTTTGCTACAAATAAATGAGAAAAAATATTGCCTGCAAGGGCCCCGAAGACAACACCAACAATGTGTGGCATTTTTACTTTGCAATGTTCCTATTGAGTGGTTATCACTGTACCTGCACCCCGTATCTCTTCTTGGGCGAACGATATGGCAACGCTGGTCACCGCGCGGGGCTGCGCTGCTCTGCTGCACAAAACGAAAATAAATATTTTTTGTTTTGTTCTTCGCCTGCGATTTACGCAAATTTGTGTCTAAAAATATAACTAGATGCCGCAAAACATTCAAAAGTAGAAACTTCGAAATCATTTTTTTGAGGCGCAGGTGTGCGCTAATTTTTAGTCGTACGTGACGGGCCCCCGGCCAAGCAACAGCAGCAGAAGACTCTGGTCCCAGGTATGCCATCCCCATCCCATTCCATCCCAGTCGCCATGGATGGGAAGTCTGTCAAACGAGGACAGCGCATCCTCACAGAGAAGCCTTTTGCGTTTGTGCTCAAGTCGCAGTATCGCCTGGAGCGCTGCGATAACTGCCTGGAGGCGTAAGTGTTTTGTGAAATGCGAATTGAAAGGCCTATTAGTATTTACACGATTCCATTTTGATCCTAGGACCAAGGTGCGAAAGTGTTCGAACTGCCGATATGTGTCTTACTGTAACCGATCCTGCCAGACCCAAGCCTGGGCACAGCACAAGCACGAGTGCCCATTCCTTAAAAGCATCCATCCACGGATTGTGCCGGATGCCGCCCGCATGCTGTGTCGCCTCATACTGCGCCTCCAGCATGGCGGCGATCTAATCCGTGGCTATTATACTGAGCATGGATCCCGCAAGTTCCGTGACCTCATGTCCCGTGAGTAGTACGCCCCCATGGGCCCCATTCAGGGACTGCCAATGGACTGTTAATGGACTGCTCCGGGCCTTCCACAGATTATGCTGAAATCAAAAATGACCGAAAGCGGTTGGAGCACTTGGACTCGTTGCATGCCGTGCTTACGGATATGATGGCCGATAGCCCAAGCACAGTGCCAAACAAGTCGGAACTAATGAGCATCTATGGTCGTGTAAGTAACAGCCACCTGATGGTGGACAGTCAGGCGCATGTCTTCGATATAAGAAGAAACGGGGGGAGGAGATGGAGGTGGAACATCACCCACCTGTGGTACAAAACTAAAAATGTACCCGAATCCGCTCCTGTTCTGCCCGAATAAGAAACCAATCAATGACGGGGGGCTGGCGCCTTGCCAGGCGATTGATCATTTCGCGAGGTTCACGGTTTAGATATGTACACTCAAATGTGATGTTTTGATAGCTAGCTCTTTTCTTTTGCCGTCTCTTTATATCCGTATCTGTATCTTTATCTGTATCAATGCCGCAGCTAATCACAAATGGTTTTAATGTTTTGGATGCTGAGATGAACTCCATTGCCACTGCCATTTATTTGGGTGTCTCGATCACCGACCACAGCTGCCAGCCGAATGCGGTGGCCACCTTTGAGGGGAACGAGCTGCACATACACGCCCTGGAGGATATGCCCTGCCTGGACTGGTCGAAGATTTTCATCAGTTACATCGATCTGTTGAACACGCCCGAACAGCGGCGACAGGACCTCAAGGACCACTACTACTTCCTGTGCGTTTGCAGCAAGTGTCGCGATCCAAAGGAGGCGCGCCAAATGACAGCCGCCGCCTGTCCCAATCGGAAATGCAGCGCCAGCATCAACATCGAGTGGAACAACTGCAAGCGCTGTTCGGTGGGCATCAGTCCCAAGCTGAGAAATGCCTACAATGAGATCATGGCCCTGACCAAGCACAATCTGGAGGCCATGAAGGATGTGGCCTGTAAGTGTGACTTAATTTCGTGTGACTTCTTTCTTTCACTGATTTGCTCCTGCTCCTGCTCCTGCAGATCTGGACGTATGCAAGGTATGCCTGGACAAACAGGCGGGACTCATGCATCCTCTGAACGTGTGGCATGTCAAGACATTGGATGCTGCCTTTGAGGCGGCCATCGAGGTGGGAAAATGGGAGGAAGCCCTCAACTACGGCCAGCAGCTGTTACCGGGCTTCCAGATGTACCATGGCCAGTGGAATCCGCTGGTGGGACTGCTACACATGAAGCTTGGCAAGATACAGCTCTTCGAGCGCCACCACAAGGAGGCCAGTCATCATCTGGAGGAAGCCCAGCGCATATTGTCCGTCACACATGGCCGGGACCATAGACTGCTCGTTGAGCAGCTGTATCCGCTTATATTTCAGGCCCGCCAAGAGGCCAACTGATGGATAGACCTTTTGGCATTGTTTTTTATTAAGAATTAAAGGATAATCTAAATAACATTAGCGGGGAATCAGCTCTACATAATCTGGGTGATGGCCTTGGCCCGACGATCGGTGTCCTGGAACAGGGCCCGTATCAGATACCGTATCTCATCGGCCTTATAGTTGGCCGTCAGCGGGCCGGCTCCCTTACACCACAGTTCGGTGATCTCCTTGAGCGAGGCATTCATCATGGTCTTGAGTTGCTGCAACTTCATCCACGAGCGCACCTGATGCACCTCATGGGGATCGCGGAACAACTTTGGGGCTTTCTCCAGTACCACATCGATTAGATCGCTCAGATCGCTGGCCATGGTTGCGGAGATGTCGCGCTGTGTGAAAATGTGACGCACCAGCTCATTGATGAACGCATGGAGTAGCTCGACAAAGGTGCTGTTGTACACATTATCGGGCAGGACATTCTGCCACACGTTCTTCAGCAGCTCCAGCTGACGCAGGCACTGACGTACAAGCTTCAATGGGCCGGTGCCCAGCGTATGCGGACTTTCAAATTCTGCAAAAATGTCAAATGTCAAAATTTTGGGGGAAATATTGAATCACCTCACACTCACCGAAACTCTCCATGATGTCCATCAGTATGGAGGTCTGGTAGGTGACCTGCACCCGGAAGTGCATGGTCCCAGTGGCCTGCAGCGTTTTGACCAGTGCGGGAAAACTCTCGATCCCCTTGTTGGCATTCTGGGCCACCCAATGTGTGAAGTACATGCAGTTGTTGTGGAACAGCACCGACTGCTGTGGAATGCTCTCAAGCAGTTTCTTGTGCACCTTGGGCACCTCGTCGATGTACGTCTGCAGCATCATGCCAATGACTCCGGCCAGGGGATCGGCCTCGTCCTCGCCCGGCTTTTCCGTCGGTTGTCGCATAATGCGTTCCATTAGCTTCATAAAGTCCTGCAAAACGAAAGCAATAGGAATTTAACGTGACTCGAAAGGGAGGATGATGGTCCTGTTCATCCTTCTCTACCTGTGCACTCCTCGAGACCATGCAGCGGGGGAAGAGGAAGGGATCGCATCCGGTCACATCCATTGCTTGGTTGTTGGGCGCCACCAGCACCATGTCCTGCAGATCACGCTGTATAATCTCCCGGGTCGACTCCAGGACGCGACTGCACAGCCGATTACGATAATAGGTCTCGTACTGTTCGATGAACTGACTGAGTCCGCGATCCACCTCGGGATTGATGAGGAACGAGTCGGCCAGATACTGTTCAAAGTGCGCCACATCTTCGCACAACGTGGAGGCCTGGTACTCTTCCATGGTCTCGGGCACAGCCGGTATAAGGCAGTCGTTGACCAGCAAATGCATCATGCGATCCTTGACATGATCCCCAATGATGCTGAAAACATGCTGGCTGCTGGACAGGCTGTGGTTGATGCCGCTCAACGTCTGGAGGAGCAGTCGAAAGTGCTCGAGCACCTGCTTGTAGTTCGGTCTCAGTTGTGTGCTAGTGCCGCTAGCCATGCCACTCTCCTTGGTGGAGTATGAGAGCGAGAGTTGGACATAGGTGCCGGCTTCGGCGTTCTCGTTGCACTCCACCCCGACTGGCTTGAGGATAAGCGGCTCGATGCAGTTTTCCAGCAGGAATTCACACAGTCTGACGGGATTGTAGCGCTCCTGGAATAATGCGATGACAATGTCATGCAGCTGACCCTCCTCCTTGCTGACCAGCAGTGTGACGCACTTGGAATTGGGAAAGGATTTGCAGTTGAGTTGCACCAACCGATCGAAGCGCTCCTGCATATTCTGCTGCAGGAGATGGGCCTGTACATGGTACTTCACCTTGATGGTTTCATAGCATTCGAGGGCCTGGAAGATGCGCACAACATCTTGGGTAGCGGCTTCGCCCTCGCCGTATATGAGCGATCGCAGACGCCCCACCAGATCGAGGACCACCAGATAGTCCTTGGTGCCCTTCGCCTCTTCTACGCACTGGAAAAGCTCGTCGATCTTCAGAATGTGCTCACTGACCTGCAGGCCCAGCATTAGTTCACGCAGCTCCCGACTGTGGTCGGCCAACTGCGTGCTTGAGCTATTTAGAGCGGCCAGGCCCTCGGTGCCCACCGTTTCAAGCAGGTCGTTGATCTCCCGGCCCAGCGAACTGGACTCCTCCAGGAAGATGTCCGGCGATGTATGATTGGTCATAAACTCCGAGTAGTTCTCGTCTATATGCTTTCTGACGCGCTCTTGGAAGCGTTCAGTGCGCGTCTGTACTTTGGAAACTGTCGATTTCGTGTCCTCGAGGCTAGCACACCCATTGCTCTGGAACATCTCCGGCATCAACTTGATCTGCGCTCTTGCAGCCATGATTGATTGAAATAAAGGATGAAAACAGAAAAATACGAAACTTTTGCGTGTTGTGGCGGCGGCTGCCGAGTGTGGCCAAATTATGGCGTTCCACAATAGAAAAAAAGACATGCACCTATCGATTCTTATCGATAGTTTAACTATCGCATGGACTAGTGTGACCGTTTAAAGAATTCCAGCCCAGCTGTTGTATCGATAAATTATGCCACCATTTTCGAATTTACTGGCAAAGGAGGCCGGGAAAAATACAAGCGTCGCATACGCGACACAAAATTTGCACAATCATAGCCGGCTATACATATACTGTAGTTAATACTCGGGCTTTCGGTGTTTCGGTGTGTTTTTTTTTTGTGCTCCGACTATTAGTTTTTGTTTTATTATTTGTGTAGAGACTTGCAAATTTCTTTACCGAGATCCAATTTACAATACCTGTCGGGAATCCGGTCAACAAGGTAAGAAGTCCCCCCAAAATGGCGAAGGGTACGAGTACTAACTGCTCTGGTCTGCTCTCTGCCGCAGATGGCCAGCGAGGATACCAGCACAGTGGCAGTGGCATTGCGCGTGCGTCCCCTCGTCAAATCGGAGGTGGAAAGCGGCTGCCGCATTGCACTCGAGCGCTCGGCGAATGGTTCCCCCCAAGTGTCGATCAATCGCGGCGAGTGCTTCACATACAACCATGTCTTCGACAGCAACGACACCCAGAAAGATCTTTTTGAGGCATGTGTCCAGGGAAAGCTGAAGAAGCTCCTCGATGGCTATAATGTGACCATCATAGCGTACGGCCAGACTGGCTCTGGCAAAACATACACCATGGGCACGGCTTTCAACGGTGTCCTCGATAATGATGTTGGCGTCATTCCGCGGGCCGTCGACGATATATTCGGACACATTGCCGATCTGAACGAAGAATACAATTTCAAAGTGACTTGCTCTTTTGTTGAATTGTATCAAGAACAGTTTTATGATTTGTTTTCGTCGAACAAGCCCGAAAAAGCCGCCGTGGAATTACGAGAGATACAGAATCGGATTGTGTTGCCTGGCCTCACCGAATTAGATGTAAAATCCTCTCATGACGCTACCGATTATCTGATGCGCGGTTCCGCCGTTCGGGCAGTGGCAGCCACTGCTATGAACGAAGTATCATCCCGTTCGCATGCAATTTTTACACTTACCGTGGTTTCCAGCGAGCTGAAAGGCGGGTAAGTGTCCACAGAAAATCACAGAATCCTGTGGAATTACATTCTCGCATTCATCTCTTGTGATCTTTAGGATGGCGGTGACCACCTCCAAGTTTACCCTTGTGGATCTCGCTGGGTCTGAACGCTGCTCAAAGACACTGGCCACGGGGGATCGCTTCAGGGAGGGGGTCAACATCAACAAAGGCCTGCTGGCCCTCGGAAATGTGATAAACGCATTGGGCTGTAGGTTTTTCCGCTTATCAAAAGCCAAACCCTTTCTCATTTTGTGTCCATTTTACAGCCGGACAAGTTTCTGGTTATATACCATACCGCCAGTCGAAGCTGACGCGCCTGCTCCAGGACTCGCTGGGCGGCAATTCCATCACATTGATGATTGCCTGCGTCAGTCCGGCTGACTACAATGTGTCTGAGACGCTGAGCACCCTTCGCTATGCAGATCGTGCGCTTCAGATCAAGAACAAGCCCGTGGTCAATATGGATCCGCATACGGTCGAGGTCAATAAGCTCAAGGACATCATACAGAAGCTGCGCGTGGAGCTGCTGGCCGCCGGCAAGATGAGCAGCTCCATTAATTGTGCTGTGTGTGCGGCCGGACTCGATCCGCTGCCAAGTGGCGCTGATGGTACATCAGCATCCTGTACGGCTGCTGCTGACCAACAGGGTGTAAAGGATTTGGTAAAGACGCTGCAGGAGAAGACCCGTAAGCTACAGCAGGAGCTGCACCAGGCTCTGATCGATCTCACAGAGAAGGAGATGCGGGCCCACATTGCAGAAGCAGCCCACGATAAGCTCAAGGCGTACGTTATCCAGTTAAAGAGCAAGCTGCAGGCACAGCTGGCAGAGGGTGCCGAGCCATCGGAACCAACCGATCAGATGCGAGAGATCAGTCAGCTGGTGGATCAGGTCGACGAGGAGCTGCAGCGCACCGAGGAAGAGCTGCAGACGCACGGCCACGAATCGATATCGAGCAACAGAACAAATGGCGATGGTGAGGGCGACGCCATGGGCGAGGAGGCCCACGAGCTGCTCAATTCCCAGTCGGAGGACTACACCAAAAAGCAGCTGGGTCTGGTCGGCGAACTGCGCACCATCAACCGCCAGCTGGACCTCAAGCAGGAGCTGCACGAGCGCATCTGTCGCAACTTCAGCAAGCTGGACGATGACGATGACGAGAAGGTGAAGCAATGCAACCAGAAGATCGACGAGCTGGAGTGCGAGCGGCGCGACCTGATCGACCAGCTGCGTACCATCAAGAGCAAGGATACCTCGGCCCGGATTGCCGAAGAGCGTCGCAAGCGGCTGAAGCTGCTGGAGCTACAGATCGCCGAACTGCAGCGGAAACTCATCACACAGGCCAATATGCTGAAGATGCGCGAAAAGGAGCGGGAGAAGATCAACAATTTGAGCGCCGAAATACGGGCCATGAAGGAGTCCAAGGTGAAGCTCATCCGTACGATGCGGGGCGAGTCAGAGAAGTTCCGCCAATGGCGAACAGTGCGCGAGAAGGAGCTCACCCAGCTGAAGAGCAAGGACCGTAAAATGCAGAGCGAAATGGTGCGTCAGCAGACCCTGCACACCAAGCAGCGGCAGGTGCTGAAGCGCAAATGTGAGGAGGCCCTGGCCGCCAATAAGCGGCTGAAGGACGCCCTCGATCGCCAGGCATCGGCACAGCGTCAGCGCCATGCCAAGGATCCCACGGGTGGTGCCAAGACAGACTCCTGGGTGGAACGCGAACTGGAGGTCATCCTCTCAGTGATCGATGCCGAGCACAGTCTCGAACAGCTCATGGAGGACCGGGCGATCATTAATAGCCACTACAATCAAGTGAAATCTGGTGGGGATCCCAAACAGCTGGCCATGATCGAGGAGGAGCTGGAGATGCGCAACGCCCAGATAGCTGATCTCCAACAGAAGGTCTGCCTCAGCGATTTGGACAGCCGCAGAAAGGCCCTCGCCGAGAGCGTCCAGAGCATCAACGAATCGCGTGCCGTTAGTAAGCAGCTGCTGAAGAGCCTCGTCCAGCAGCGGCGCCAGCAGGCGCACAACATTTTCGAGCAGCGTATCGCCATGGAAGAACAGCGCTGCCAGCTGCTGGAGACCCAGCAGCGGCACGAGGCTCTGGCCAAGCGGCTGCGCCAGGTCGAGGCCAACCACGAGGAACAAATGCTCGCCCAGCAGCGTGCCTACGAGGAGAAGGTGGCTGTCCTATTGCGCACGGCGGCCACGCAGCAGCCCGCAGGCGAATCGCACCAAGAGATTATCGAGGAGCTGTTGAGCAGCCGCGAAGCCCTTCAGCAACAGGTCGATCGTCTGAAGTCGAGCAAGGAAAAGACACACACAAAAGAAAAACAAGCTAAGGCGGCCCCATCCCGCGATAATCACAATGAGAGCGTTGAGTTCCTCTCTGAAAGCATTGATATTATGAGCGATGCCAGCGATGACGACCCCGAATGGATCCCCAGCACCAAACGACGTTCCAAGGTGAGTAGAGTACTTCAGTCTAGCACAACAGGGCAATGCCAAACGTAATTAATCACCTCACCGCAGATGTCTACGCAGTCGGTCAACGACAAAACCGAACGTGCCACCTCACAGGCCCAGGAGACATCAATGCCGACCGGCGAACAGCAGCAGGCCCTCGGCGCAAACAGTGACATCAATGGGTCGGTCAATTCCCAGCACTCCACCTCGGCCACGGAGCTCGGAGAGGGGGGTCGCCACTCGATATCGAAAAAGTGCAAGTGCCGCACCAAATGCAATACGAAACGCTGCGCCTGCTTCTCCTCCAGCAACGGCTGTGGCGACAACTGCGGCTGCAAGGGCTCTTGCATGAATCCACTGAACCGCAACGCGAAGCCGCAGCCAACAAATTCACCCAAGGCTGATATCCTCGACATCAAGGAGGAGCCGCTGGAGGAACAGAAGCAGCAGGATGATAAGATGGTGGGCGAGAACTCTACATTTGCCTCACCAGAGCCAGCATTCGGCTCTGAGTCTGCGCCCACTTCCAACGTCCTATCGCCTGCCAAGCGATCCATCGATCAGAATGCTGCTCCAGCACACCTAGGCAGAGCCACTTCCACCGAAGAATTCAGCGCCCCCAAGCTAGCCAGGTCAGAAGCAGACCCCTACTCCCCAATACGCCGACACAGCATCTGAAAAATGTGCAATTCTTAAATAAAACCAATTTCGACGCTTTTTCTCTTCTTTCAGAATGTCTGGACTGGCATTCTCCACGCCACGACGTAAATTCTTCTAGGTAGAAAGGAAAACATCCTTCAGATCCCGACACGACACAACGCGCGATCTACGTTGATGATTTTACAATCTCTACAGTCTAGACTTATTTTTGTTTTTACGTTTACATTTACGATTACTATACGATTAAGGGTTGGGTGTCACTGTTCTGCTACGTTCCAAATAATATTCGCAGACCAGAAAGTCGCGACCGAATCACGGCTAAACCGGGGACTCTTTTTTTCATCCATTGTACCTTCCTTGGAGGCCCATCAGCAATGGGTATCCCAGGCTTCCGTCATCAAGGGATCCATAGCTAGACAATTTCTTTTCTCTTTGATTTTTTCTGGATCACAGAGCTGCAGCCAGAGGGCACTCGACGTCGACGCTCCACAGATATTTCGGGATAACAGCGACCTCTAAAGCGGTCTCCTCCACCTCCGCCTTTTTGGAGAATGTTTTTTCACTTGCGGGGACAGGCATTACCCGCATCCGAGCCTTCATTCATAATAATAACGATAAAAACTCGCATATATTTCTACATTTTATTGTTTTTTTTTTTTGTATTTGGTTCTTTTCTTTTTTTATAACAGTTTCAATGTGTGTG